GCTAGTCAACCATCATGTTTGGTAATTAGCATTTATCGTGATCTTTTTTAGTGTTCCCTTAATTATGTATCAGCTCACATGACCAGATTTAAATGTGATCCTTTATGAAGTAATCCTGAAGTCTGGGCTTCAACTACATGTATGTAAATTGGTCAAATGTCACAATGGCACAGGGCATAGATTTCTTCATGGCTGAAATAATTGTTTCTTAAAACAAGTGGTATGTGAGCAGAGGCATTTCTCAACGTAGTCCTAAGAAACACGCAAGAGTTATTTCAAGAGGGAGCTAGTCATCGGTGCGGTGTAACGGCAACCCCGATACAGTTCAGTTCCATGGCATTAGGAGATGGACATACCCACAATTAGCAGAGTGAAACTAAACTAAACTAAACTAAACATACCCAGCTTACAGTGGGAAGTAAGCTGGATAGGAGCCAGCAGTGTGCCCTCGTTGCCAAGCAGGCTAAGGACATCTGGGGCTGCATTGGGAGGAGCGCTGCCAGCACACGGAGGGCAGTGATTCCTCCCCTCTATTCAGCACTGGGGAGGCCACATCTGGAGTCCTGTGTCCAGCTGTGGGCCCCACTACAGAAAGGATGTAAACAAGTTGCAGAGAGTCCAGCGGAGGGCAATGGAAATGGTTGTGGGGCTGGAGGACAGGACTGGTGAGGAGAGGCCGAGGGAACTGGGCTGATTAAATCTGGAGAAGAGAAGACCGAGGGGGATTGAATAGCAGCCTTCACCTCCCTGCCGGGGGCTGCAAAGAGGATGGAGCTGGGCTGGTCTCAGTGGGGGCAGGCGGCAGGACAAGGAGCAATGGGCTCAGGTTGCAGCAAGGGAGGTTGAGGTTGGATATTAGGAGAAACTCTCATTATGAAGGCAGTGAAGCACTGGGACAGGTTACCCAGAGAGGTGGTGGATCTCCATCCTTGGAGGTGTTTAAGACCCAGCTCAACAAATCCTTGGCTGGGATGATGGAGTTGGGGCTGGCCCTGCTGGGAGCAGGGGGTTGGACTAGATGTGACCTCCCGAGGTCCCTTCGACCCTCCTTGTCTACGATAAACTGTAGAAAGAGGTAGTACTTTCTGTTTTTGAATGAAAGGCCTTGTCACAAGGGCCTGAAGTCAAAAAGAAGGAAATTAAACTCTTCGAGGCAACATAAAAAGGTACTTTAGTATCCTCTAGCAATGTCATAAAAAGAAGACAGATCATAAACAAACTCAGAAGCAAGGCAGCGACAAGAAGCTGGTCCGGTTGAAGGAGAAGTTGGTATAGTGCAAATAGAGGAACATAAGTCTTCCTAAAAATAGAAAGGACATGAGTAAGGTGAACACCAGGGGATACTCAAGTCCAGAAGCTAATCCCACCCCAGCACAGAAAACCACCAGCCAAGTTGATCCCTAGCTCCCGGCGCAGGTCTCTTGGGAGGGACCTTGAGCAACAGCTCTCGCCTACGGTGCCAAGCCTGGCAAAGCTCCGATGCCCGCTGCCCCTGCCCCGCCAGGGAACGCAGAGCGGGGAGCTGCTTCTGACACGGTGACATGTGGGGCTGGTTTGTCACTCAGCGGACAAGTGGCACCAGACCCTCCCGTGGCCCGGCTGAGCACCTGCATAGCAAAGGCTGCCAGAAAAAAATCCCTACTAGTTGTTTCTTTCCTTGACTGAAGGGCATCAGTGCGAGCAAAGGGATGATTTAGTGCTTTGGGGAAGGGGGGAGAGAAAAAAAGAGATAGATCACAAAAGCTGGTGTCAAGCAAGGAGCAGTAAACTCCCTAAGGCAGGCAGCATGGGGAATGAATTACGAATTGGTGAACATCCAAACACACCTTCCTCCCATGAAAGCTGATCTCAGCCCTCAGGGATGCAGAAGGCATTTACAGTAGCACGGTGCTGAGTGCTCCAGCGGCCCGGTGCCGAGCTCTGGTGAAGTGTGTCGCCGGCAGAGTGCCCTCCAATGTCCAGGAAAGACACAAACACGGGGATTGTTCGACGGTGGCTTGGCGCCAGGGGCTGCAGTCATGCAAAGCTAATAGATCAGCGGCTGCTGCCCTGCTTATCCCGACACTCAGCTGAGGTTACAGTTTCTCACTTGCTTTTCTTAATTTTTTTTTTTTTTTAGATAATTATCTTATCCTGGGGAGCTTAGGACTGTCATGCAACATTTACAAAAGCAGAAATGACAGGGGATTTGGAGAAATGGTTTCAGCTACACCTAGGATAACAAGATACCTTTTTCAAACTCAAAGGGGCATTGTTTTCCTGATGAGCTCCGTCTCTGGGGAGCTCGCATCCTCCCCCGGGTCCCCTCGCTCCCAAGAACAGTCGTGTCGTTTTTATTGCCTTGGACACAGTCAAACCTGCTCGTTGTCATTGGCCACCGATCATAGTTTTCCTCTTAAATGGGACTTTCCAGCAACAGGTCCGATTTCCCCTAGCTAAAATTTAAACCGCCTTGGTAAAAAAAAAAAATCCCAGTTTTCTCCATCTTGTATTCTACCTTAAGAGTAAAGCAAGCCTCCCCCATTGCCCCATTTTCAATAATCAGAAATGTGCAATTAAACAGAACAAAAACACAGCAAAGCCCTTTATATATGAATATTTTGCTGTACATTTAGGCTACCCACAGGGCTCTTGGACATAAACTTGCTGTTTAAAAGTGTTAGGTCTGGTTGTTCAATGCTGTGCCACTGCCACAATAAGTGAAGGCAAAAGGAAAGAGATCTTTATGCTTCTCCAGCGGCCAGCGACAAGAATTTGTTCTGGGTCCTTCAGTTGACATTGTAAAACACCAGTGCGCGCCAAAACCAAACAGCAATACACGGAAAATTATTTATAAACTATTATTAAGCAAGCGGATCTGTACCGAGCTCATAAATAGGAGAGAATAATTTCCACTCAACAACATTTTCCATTAATTAAATTTACTTGAGTTTACCCGTGTTCCTACAATCTGAATTTATCACAACTCCTTAAACATCATTAGTCCGGCCAATCTCTGCACACAAGCCCAAGGGAAGCAGTGGGAAGAAAGCGTGTGATCAGTTTGCCAGGGAGCCGGGAGGGAGGGTCCTGCACGTGTGCTTTGCACAGGGAACCCAGGTGCAAGGGCAGCCAGCAGCAGGGTGTGAAGGCAGCAGAGAGGACGGGATGAACCTACACGGAAAACAGGACCGCCGGCGACTAGCGATAGAGAAAATAAGAGAAGCAAAAGCAGTCAGCGGGGCGGTTACGGAGGAGCGAGCAGCTTCAGCTGCGTAAGGAGGGAGGCACGGAAAGGCCCAGGGCTTCGTTCCGACGCTGGCCCGGGGCCGCCTGGTGCCGCTGCATCGGACCTGGGCTAGGAGTCCTGCTCGTCCGAGCTGCCGACGCGAGGCTAGCTCGGTGCCGATGAAGAGCATCTTGCATTTGAAAGCTCGCCTACCTTGATCCCAGCCATGCAGCTGGTCCAGTAACAACTCGCCCACAAAGACCTCTGCCTCGCTCAAGGCTGGCGCTGGCGTTGGGCGCTGTCTTCCCCAGAACGAGGAGACTGGATTTTCTCATGCAAGATCCCTTTGAACACGAATGGTTTCGATTCCCAGACCATGGCACTGAACACGTAACAGCCACCGCACACAGGGCGCCGGTTGGACTGGGCCGGTTTTAGTTGAATTCTGAATTTTTGCTCTGCAAAAGGAGGTAACGGGGTCAAACTTCACATTTAAATCTCAGGTGAGCTTTCTCTCCCCAGTGAGCTGAGCAAGTGAGGAGTGACTATTAGGGAAAGGACTGTTAGGGTCAAGCATCGACAGCTACTTGACATTTTCAAGCAGTCAGCATTTCCCACCTTCTCCTTTCGCAAGGGTCTCCGTCCCGCCAGCCTCCAGAGGAGGGGACGAGCCTGTGCCCAAGATACTTCTGAACTTGAGCTAACACCGCTCTTTCTGAGCCTCACCCTTGATTTCCACTCCGTGCCGTTTCATCCCCGGGGGCGGCGTACACTTCAATGGTCCTGCTGTGTGAAATACAGTTTTCACTTTGAACTAGAAAGGCAGAAGACATTTTTCACATTTTTAACACTAACTTTTTTAGCCAAATCTAATGAACCCTTCAGGCATTTCCCTAGCAGCCACGTAAGCACTGGCAAACCCTCTGAAGACAGCCTTTTCACATGAGGATAACATTTGAAATGTGTACATCTGCAATCCAAGCCCAGACCCCCACCAGAGAAGAGAGGTCGCAAGATCTCTCTGCGGGGAAACGTGGCGGTACGCAGGTGCCCTTTGCTGTTAGAGCAGGTGAGACTGGCAGGGAAGTCAAGAGGAGGATGGCGAGGTCCCAGAGAAGAAAACAAGACACGAGAAAATGACACTCTCAACACAAAACGGTATCAAAAGTGTCCCGCACAGCCAAGGGCAGGGAAGGAGGCGGTGTCGTGGCACGACACGCGGTTAAGCAAGGCTGGGCATTCACACATCCCGGGTGCAATATAATCACGTGAAGCAGTGGGAGGTAGTGGGTGAGGGGTAACGGTGCGTGACCTCCCCTCGCCCAGGCCCCTCTGCACTGCACTGCTGCTGCCCTTCTTTGCCCCACGGGCAGGGGCATTTCACTAGCGGGAGCCCCCGGGAACGAACCGCGACGCATGGGCATGCACGCACCACCGTAAGACGGCACGGCTAGCTTCATATAGTCTCTCCGCCGGCTCCTGCACAACACCTCTCCCCAAGTAGAAACGAATGAAAAGCTGGCAGGTCCTGGCAATCCTGCAGCACGTTCAGGGAACGAGCAGTCACAGCTTTGGTCTCTCTTCCTCCACGGGCCCCGCTTTGGAGCGGGTGCACTCCAGTGGAGAGGAAACCACGCCGAGCATCGGTCAGACCGGCCCTCGGCTAGGCTGTAGGGCGCTGGAAGGAGCCCGAGACCTCCAAACGGGCCAAGAGGGGTTGCCCGTTCCCAGCAGACGCTGCTGGAGCAGATCTAGGTTCCTGTTCAGTAACGGTTTCCTTTCCTTCCCACAGGATTTTTTATTTTTTTTTAAAAAAAAAAAATCGGGCTGCGATTTGGGAATGGTTTCCTTGCTTCAGGACCAAGCCGGTATTAAGTTCCCTTCTTCGGACACACTGAACAGCGACCACCAAGACGACCTCATGCAGATGCAGGGAGACTCCAGCCCCCCAGAGCAGCAAGCTGTGAGTAAGACGCGCCTTTTCCTTTCCATCTCCAAAAAGCACAAGCCCGATAGAAAGCTTAGCAGTTGCTGTGTCAGGTTTCTTCTTTCTCCGTCCAAGGCAACAGGCACTAATAGAGGTAGGTACCAAAAGGGTAGGAACGCTTACCTGGACAAGGAGCAATACTTGGCATGACATTTCTATAAGGCTTAGTCATCCAGCAGGTTGCTTATGGACTGGAAAATAACCAAAACCTCCTCCTAACTGGGTGTCACTTGTGCCTTGCAGGATAATCCCAGTTTCAGCTGCCAGGCGTACGACCCGGACAGCAGGACAGAAAGGAAGAGTTCAGACTCGTCGCACAGCCCCAGCCCCTCTTCTCCAGCTCACGACCCGCTTCACGGGAGATTCCCTGCCAGCCAAGCCATCCATGCTGCCAGGAGCAAGTTTAAAACCACCCACAGTCTGGAAAAATTCAGAAGGTATAGCTACGACGAAAACACGGCCGGGACCTACGGCAGCTTCCTCAAGAGCAGCAGGAACCCCTTCCATCCTTACAAGAGGCAGATCAGCGAGGAGGTCTTCCAAGAAAGCCATCAAGCCCTCGCGCTGGATGATCATGCCTTCAAAAATGCAAGAAGCGCTGAAACTTTTGAAGAGCTGCCAGGATCTACAGGCACGGGAGAGACAGAGGCCTTCCCCACACACGTTCCCAACATCTCCACGGAGCAAACGTGGTGCAACAGCCTCCAGTACAGCACCCGGGGCCAAGATCCCGGCACTCAAGCCTTGGTGAGTTACTGCACGACCCAGGGCTGCTAGTATGGCCCAGGTCAACTTTTGCAAACAGTTCTCTTTCCCGTGGCATAACCCCTCCGTTAATCTTTCCCCAGGTTAGAGTCTATAAACAATTCCTTTGGTGCGGCTCCCTGTCCTGCACCTTGTCCCCAACTAAAACTAACTCTTAGAAAAAAAATCCATGGACACAGATCATTTGCCTAGAAACCCATTATGTGGACCTGAAACGCTCAATTCGTTCCCTACAACAGGTCAATCATTGTCACCAATTAGTCTGTTGAGGGGCTGGAAGTTTTCAAAGCAATTAGTCTCAAACAGAGGGATGTGTGCATTGGCCACGCTCACATTTGTTACGACTTTCCCTTTCCCCTTCCTATAGTCATGCACTAGAAAAAGGGATGTTAACACACACATCCTAATTCAATGATGTTTAAACCCCATTGGGATCCTGCTACAGACAAGGGCAGTGGTATTTAAAAGCCTGTTTGTTTGTGGCAATCAACCCCGTGGATGCCCAGCATGCTCCTAAACCTCCTGCTGTTCCTACCTAAGCACCTGCAAAGAATAAAACAATCAAAGGATAAAATACATTCAGGATGTGTGTCTGACACTAAAGCAGTGGCTCTCCACTATTTTAGGCTCAAGATCTTTTCTGAATTTAGCAGCACCCCGTTTCAAAAATGAAGTTCACTCATTTTTTGGCTACAGAAAAAATTACTAGAGCCATTCTTCTGTTGCCAAGATCTCAGAAAGATTGCAGCAGGGCAGAATGGTTGTGACACGACGTGGATTCCTATTTGACATCTCTGGGTTTATCTTGTGAATCACGTGTAGGTGTTGGCACACCTAACAGTCCTCCTATTGCGCAGCACCCTGTGTCACCTTTACACGGATCTCCTGGTGCCCTGGTTGAGAACCACTGCCCTACCAGGTGAGAATCCTAATGCCCACGGTCCAGCTACCTAAGAGAGGACAGGGCATTACCAAAGGCTATCACCCTCTCAAAGCAGCTAAAACCCACTAGGCTTTTCCCACCGAGTACTGATACTTGGGTAGGAAAGCTTCTGCGACTAATTCCACGAGCACAGGTTACTTCCTTGCTGCTATAATTACACGCCGGTTTTCCAAGACTAGCTTCAATCACTAATTGGCAGTAAGGGGAAGCGGGGAAGTCTAGCATCTCAGTAGACATTTTGGATGCAGGAAGGCCCAGCTCCGAGGTCACTTCCATTTGATGGGCATTGCCGGAGTGGAAAACCCTTCTGTTGCGCAGCGTGCAAGACGGCGCGGTCGCGGTTTGCAGCTCTGGGGCGAGCGACGTTAGTACAATAGATGCAGCTAATTTAAGGGGACTAAGATCACAGCGCTCTAAGGAGGTTTGGGCTGTGTACGTTTGCAGCAAGTTTTCCTACTATTAAGATTAATCAAAGAGCAGTTATTAGGAAAGATATAAAGCCTGCTGACCCTGTCAAATACTTTTAAAGTGTTTTTGTTGTCTGTCAGAAAAATTATGTTATATAAAAACAAGAATAATAAAGCAGAACCCTCCTAACAATGCCCCTGATTTTGAACGGTGTCTGAACTCACTTGAAAACTGAATACGGTGTTGAATTCTAAAAACCTTCGAATCATGACTTTTCATATTTTTTTTCAATTTGTAGTTTGCACAATTTTCAGAATTAAAATCTCAAGATCAGTTTGGCTCTCTCACCCTGCCTATCCCCCTCATGGTGCGCAAGCCAAGTAAAGACACCTTTTTATCACTCGCATGTCTATTAGCATTTCTGGGCAAAGTGCCGAGCGATTAAAACACGCTCGAGCCAGGATTAGCCATCAGGGGACCATGGTGTTTTCTGGTATGCCGCACCAAAATATTATTGATTATTTCTTGGTGATAATTAGACATAAAAGAAAGAGATACTTAGGTTGCAGAGGCTGATCCTGTTGAATTGTCATAGTTGATAGAAGCAGATTAAATGTATGGCCTAAGCAAGCGGCCAGAATTGCTTAAGGCCTGTTAGATCTGTTTATCCAAACGCACACACGCTATACGCGTTCATTAGGCTCCGATCAAACCTGCGCATCGGTGCTTGCAGCATAATACACCGGTGACAGGAAAGTAGTGACTGAGCTCTTCCCAGCTCTCCAAGGTCATCTCCCCAACTGCGCTATTCGGTCTCTCCTCTCCCAACGACGCCAGTCCAGCTTTGTGCAAACCGTCAGCTAACAACAAGCTGCGGCCGTCCTGAACCCGAGAGGGACCCGATGAGCTCAGGAGTGACTGTTCAAGGACATGCTTCTGGTATTTGAAGGGAAAAGGCAAAAGAAATTATCGTTATCTGGACTGGTCATATTTTTGTTAGAAAATTGTAATGGTCTTCTCCTTTTAAATCGTAGTTACACAAAAATGATCGATGAGATGCTTACTGTCGGGGCCGTAACGCACGATGTTTTCTACTTCTAACAAGCATAGAAGGAAGTCGGGAAAAGCAGAGAAAATATCTAAAGGCTAGGACAGTAACTAGCCAGCTTATTTTGATTAAAATTCAGTGCATTTTCCCAGTTACACCTCCAATAATATTTCTCAGCAGGATTCGGAGGTCAGCCTTAAAGCCCTGTCACTGGAAGGGCAGCCCGGTCTGTACTGCTACCAGCCTCAGGTGCAAGAGATGTACTGCCCCTCGCACCCGTTCCAGCAGGTAGGTGCACCGTGCGGGCAAACTGCAGTTCCCACCGCAAACCGGAGATAGTATTCGAGGAACAGCTAGCGGTGTCGGCTAAATTTACACTTGCTGGGGAAATTCGATAGTAAATAATATTACCATTTTCCTTCCAAAAATGGCCTTGAGAAGAAATAGATCCAAATTATTTTTAAAACCCAGGTGCTGTCAGAAAAATGAACCAGTAGAAATGGGAAAGCAGTACTGCTCGTGTCTTCTCTTGCAGCGACTGCCACAGAAAAATCGGTGTGGTAACCCGGTGGAAGGGATACGGGCCAGCTCCATCCGACCTTGGGAATTGTGTCCGTTCTTCCCGAGCGTCACAGCTGGACATGGCCCCCTCGAACACTAATAAGCTTAGAAAATCATTTCAAAACCCCAGGTTTAAGCAGTCAAGCACTCCTGTGCCCTGGCAGGTAGGAGCTGGGCGAGCCGCAGTGAGCACTGGGAACCAAGACTTGCACACGGCAAACCATGTGTTCCTTCCTATTCCTGTTACTCTCCTCTTCCCTCTGCTTCCACTCCCTCTATTGTGTGCTGCACCCACCCATCCCACGGATAGTCATTAAAGTATAAGCTCTTGGGAGCAGAGACATCTTCCATGCATGTCTGTGCAACACCTTGCCCAATGGGCTTCCCATTCTGGTTGGCACCTCCGTGCACCTCTGGCAACCAAATCCTCAGCGGGAGAGGGGCTCTCTGCCAGGATGGCGTGATGCCCACCATGTTTTCTCCTCCCTGGTATTCCTGCTTCTTCCATCTATTTCTGCACCTCAGCTCTGCAGGAGCTGGACACTCTTCCTACAGGCCTGGGAAGTGCACAAGTGCAGGGAGGGGTGGACGAGCAGAAGCTTTGGGAGCTGTGCCAGAGGTAGCAAGGGTTTCCCCACACCGGGACCAAGTCAGGAAGCCTGGTCAGGGACCTTCCTCTTGCTGCCCGGCCCCTGCCTCTCAGGCTCATCCCCGGAGCTGCCACCGAACCAAACCTAGCCTGAACTCTAACATGTGCAACATTTTTCTTACCAAGTGGCCAAAAAGGAATGGAAAATCCCTCATCATCACCAGCACCCCTTCTTCTGTCATAGTCCATAGTCCAAAAGCTCCTGCCGTTGATCTCAAATGCACTAGAAAAGTGGTCTCGATCACAGTCAGAATCCAACAACGTTGATGCGGATATATTGTTTTTCTTTTCTCCCTTTGTGGGGAGGGAGGAGAAGATTAAAAAATGATATTTACGGGAAAACCTCTGCTGCAGCTCTGAAGGGTCAGCGCAGCCCTGAAAATCTGGCTGCAGTGTGCCAGCTGCATTGCACACCTTCCCACAGCTCTGCACAGCCATTGCAAAAGTAAAAAGGGAGAGACTCCGTGTGCCCAAAATACCCGTTTGACTGATAATCCATCAATCCCTTCTTTTCCACCTTAGTGCCTAGAACCCTCCCCTTTCGCTCTTGGTTCGATGCCAGCTCTGTTACTAAACGTTGGCATCAGCTGGATTAAAAAACAAAACCTTACGGTGCAGCGGCTGCAAGACGCCTTCTGGGAGCAGCTGGGCAAGACGCAGCAAGCGCTGCACCGTAGGGAAGTCTCCATCCACCTGCAGGCTGGCACCGTGACAGCCCTCCCCACGCACCAGGTTTCTGGTAGCGCTTTTGTACTTGTCCATGTTTCCTTAGCTTTGCCCACAGGAACGAGAGAGGCACAAGAGCCCCAGGGACAGCGAGAGGCCGCGGCAGCCTAGACTGGAGTAGGCAGACTTACCACCCCAGTCGTGCCAGGGCAGCCAGCCGGACGAGTAACGTGCGTGATGCAGAGCAGCCTCCCCATCCCATCACAACCGGGTGACCCTGCACTGAAGCTGTTCCAGGGGCGGTTGTCGCCGTGTCGCAAGCAGACGAGGTTCTTTGGGCCAATCCAATATCTTTTATTACTTTATTATTCTTTTAGTTGGTCTAAATAAAAGACATTTTTATTTTAGGCTAGATATCAGGAGGCGCTACTTCACAGTCAGGGCGGCTAGGACCTGGAACCAACTTCCAAGAGAAGTGGTGCTGGCTCCTACCCTGGGGGTCTTCAAAAGGAGGCTAGATAATCACCTAGCCGGGGTCGTTTGACCTGCCACGGCAGGGGGTCGGACTTGATGATCTGCTCAGGTCCCTTCCAACCCGACCAACTATGAAACTGTATCAGATTGACCCAAATAACCTTACCTGCCTATGAACTAGAGCTGAGCACACTGGCAAACCAGCCGGAGAAGGCTCTCCACACCACGCCGAGAGGCGCCAGATCCGCTCCCTTGTCACTTTTGTCCACGAGATGAAACGGCTTCTCCCCGCTTTGCCGCGTGCAGGGCAGCGTAGCCCAGCAGAGAAACCACCACCTTGCTCACCTCAAAGCAACTGCAGACATGCGACACTAATTGAAGGCACCCACCCACCATAAAACACCGCCACCTTCGTGCCAGCTCTGCCACGTAAAACAAGCACGAGCCTGTCGCACAAGACCATTCTCTAGCCCCGGTTCCCTCAAATAGGAGCAATGAAACCAATAAAACAGAAATAGTCTTTAAAACACCCAGTTCTCTCTTCTGGTGACGACATCAGAGCCGGTTCCAGCTCAGTCTCCTTTCCTTCCAAAGGAGCCACTGAAGCTAATAAAAACCCAAATTACCAAATAAATACCTGCTCTTCCCTGCTAACCGTGCTGAACACAGGAGGACAAGGCGGGCAGCCCTTGAAGACAGAATTTATGGAAGTTTTCAGGGCTGAAGTGTTGCCCAGTTTGTATTTTCCTGGGGCAATGCGGGACGACGGGTGGAAGCGATGCAAGGACAAGGGTGCACGGGTCGGGTCAGCCCGCTGGCAGCGCGCTCAGAGCTCAGGCGCTGCGTCTTGCTCTGCAGCGGGACGGGACAGAGCACCTCGGAGCCCGGCACGTTTTACAATGCATTCGTTTTCGTGCCTGCGCGGACATCGTTAACGCATTCAAAGTTTTACCTTGATGTCCGAAGTCAGCGAGCAGCACTGGCCTGGTGTTGACCCCGCTGTACAAGCTCTGCTCCACTGGATTTCTGTCTTTACCCCCTTCATTGCTTTAACTGAAGACAACCAAAAAATGCAGCCGAGCCCCTCTTTTAAGTCTGTAACGTACTTTAATGGCTTTAATCTTATGTCTGACTTTAGAGGATGGGTCTTTGTAGTGCACTTTACTGCTCTGAGCATCCCAGGCTGTTTTGACATGTTTCTCCATCTGAGCAAGGTTATTTTATAGCATTCCCTTTATCTGTGCGATACCGGGGTGGGTGGGGGAAGGGGTCCTTACAAATAACATGCCATTGCTGTTGTTGATAAGACAACGTCTCAAGGGCCTTTTGACTCTTCAGTTTCTAAGCCAGTTGGTTTCTCTCCTATTGCACCCCCAGTATTCCCCAGGAAGCAGCTACCCTGTGACCTACCTCCCTTCGCCCCAGTACCCCTACCAGAGGATCGCTCCTCAAGGAAGCCAAGAGTCCCACCAGCCTCTGTTTCCAAAGCCGATCTACTCCTACAGGTAACGCACGGTTTGCTCAAGTCTGACAGTTCGGGGAAGCATCAATTTGCACACAACCCGTCCTCGGTGCATAACGAGTGAAAATGCGCTTGCTCCCATGTATCAGGAGATGTCCCAGCCTCTGAGCCAAGACGCAAGAGGTTTATTAAGCAGGAAAAAAGCTGACGAGCATTTTGCAGAGTCTTGGGCACATAAAACAAAAAAATAACATCGAAACAGGGCTAAGGACACTGAATAGGGCCGAGCGTCTCAGTGTGGTCCTGCGGCATCCATCCGGCTCTAGGGTCTGGAGCGTGCCAGTGCGGTGCACGTGCCGCCATGAAAGAGAGACCGAAGTGCCCCTCAGGTACCCGAGAGCTGGCACTGGGCATCTGCAGTCTCCTCTGTGTGTGGCTCTTGGCAGCTGGTCACCCTATCCAGCATGCGAGTTAGTGCTAATTCTTTCCTGCTG